ATCCCCACCCCCCAAAAAACTGAGTATCCCCTACATTTGGGGAACCCCCCCAAAAATGGGGACCCCCCACCCAAAAGGGGAACCCCCCGCCCCCCCCCATAGAGACCGGCGTCTTTGGGGGTCCCCATTTTGGGGGTCGTCCCCCCCCAGCACAATAAAGAGCTGTGGTGGTGCTGTGCTGTGTCCCCAATGTCCCCGGCGTCGTGGTGACACCAACCCCCCCCCCACCCCCATTGTCCCCAATGTCCCTCAGCGCCCCCCCCATGTCCCCATTGCCCCCAGTGCCACAATGTTCCCGTTACCTCCAGCGTCCCCAGTGTCCCCACTGACCCCAATGCCTCCATCTGACCCCAGTGTCCCTATTGTCCCCACTGACCCCAATGCCCCCATCTGACCCCAGTGTCCCTATTGACCCCATTGACCCCAATGCCCCCATCTGACCCCAGTGTTCCTATTGACCCCATTGACCCCAATGCCCCCATCTGACCCCAGTGTCCCTATTGTCCCCACTGACCCCAATGCTCCCATCTGACCCCAGTGTCCCCATTGACCCCAATGCTCCCACCTATCCCCACTGACCCCATTGTCCCCATTGACCCCAATGTCCCCACAGACCCCAGGGTCCCCATCAACCCCAATGTCCCCATTGACCCCAATGTTCCCACAGACCCCAGGGTCCCCATCTGTCCTCATTGACCCCAATGTCCCCACTGACCCCAGTGTCCCCATCTGTCCCCATTGTCTCCATTGACCCCAATATCTACATCTGTCTCCACTGACCCCAGTGTCCCCATCTGACCCCAATGTCCCCATCAACCCCAGGGTCCCCATCTGTCCCCATTGACCCCAATATCCCCACTGACCCCAATGTCCCCATCGACCCCAATGTCCCCACTGACCCCAGTGTCCCCACCTGTCCCCATTGTCCCCATTGACCCCAATATCTACATCTGTCTCCACTGACCCCAGTGTCCCCAATGTCCCCATCGACCCCAATGCCCCCATCTGACCCCAGTGTCCCTATTGTCCCCATTGACCCCAATGCCCCCAAGCCCCCCAAACGCCCCCACAGCCCCCCCTGCCCCACCACCCCACACGGGCTCAGCTCTACGGTGTTTATTGGCGTCTCTAACACTTCACTGATGCAGATAAATAGTGGACATTTGTCACCGCCGCCACCGACCGCTGCGTGGGGACCCCGGCGGGGACCCCTGGCCCCCCCCCCCCCCCCCCCCCCCCCCCCCCCCCCCACCAGCGTGGGGGAGCGCTCCCCGAGACCCCCCACCCCAGGGAGCCCACCCCTTGGGGTCACCATTTGGGGTCAATCTTAAGGTCACCCTTAGGGTCACCATTTGGGGTCACCCCTCGAGGTCACCGTTTTGGGGACATGGCCTTGGGGTCATCTTTGGGGTCATCTTTGT